GGGGGGGGGGGGGGGTTGACGTATTGAGTTCAGCGTTACTGGATTTAACGCACAGTCGACGAGTTTACGTACAACTCCCGATTTCACAGCATGATATTCCTCTGCATCCGTTTAGCTGGACGCCGAAATGTTGGATCAGAAGGCTAGACAGGCGGCCGCCAACGTAATGAGCTGTATACGAAGGCACATTTCCGCCCTGGAAGCCAGAGAGAAGGAACTATTGAACAGCATTGAGAGAGCGCGGGTGGTGAAGTTCGACTCTTTGAAAATGAAAGACGAGCAATTGAGAAACGATAAGACGCGCCTGACGAAAGTCACTTATAAGCTCTGCAACGTCCTGGACTCGTGCGACCTCTCGAGCAACCCCAAGGAGCTTTTGGCGATCAAGGATATGACAATGGCCGAGGTAACGATCGATTTTTCACCCGCTCATTCGCGTATTACACCTCGCTTTACATTCTACACTTGCGACTTTTAATCGACACGACATGACATTTCTATCGCAACGGCATCGTTGATACTTCAATCTACAGATGCGATTGCACTCGCGCAAGTGTTAAGTGTAATACGAGGTCGATGTTGCGTGTCGTCTTGTGTTGAGCTCGCGATTGCCTCGCTCTTTGCATCGTGCCGTTGAATTATGTACGCCGACTATTATGTTATTTAATCATGAGAAGATGCGAAAGGGCCGTTCCGTTGCCAACGAGTCGCGATTTACGTTTGCGACGCGCCATTCGTGAAAATTCGTGAAATTCCCGACGACCGCCAAGGTGGAACGCCCACGAACGTGAGTAAACCTTTAGCGTCTTCAAGAAGCAGCCTTTTTCTCTGCGTTTGTCCATCGCTTTTCGTTCGTCCACGCCTTGGCCCGTTGTCCGTCTGTCTCTGTATCCCACCTGGGGACTCGCATTCTCATTGAAATACGAAAGTATATATGTCCTTTGTATGATGATGCAAGATGTTCCAGATCAAACAGAATCGGCGGTATCGGTCCACCCGGGAAGAAAGTTGGATCTCGTTCACGTCACTGGGGAACGCCCTGATGCACGAGATCGCGAATTTGGGCAATATCCAAACGAGCAATCCGGGCCCGATCGGTGAGGGACGCGCGATTTGCGGCGGCAACTCGTCGCACTTGTACTTGTCGTATACCCCGAAGATCCCGAAAGAGATCGGGCGCGGTCGCCCGGTGCCGGGCAACAGCTTCCCCGTAGTAGTCGGGGAGTCCGCCTACAACAGCGTGATCCAGGTGATCGGCGATAACGGAGACGTTTCCGACAATCTCTGCCGTCCGTGGGGTATAACCTGCGACAATCGAGGTCACATCATAGTCGCCGACAGGTCCAACAATCGCATACAGATCTACCGTGAGGACGGTACGTTTGTCATGAGATTCGGCTCCCAAGGGACCGGCCAGGGCCAGTTCGACCGTCCAGCCGGGATCGCCGTCGACAGCAGACAACGTATCATCATCGCCGACAAGGATAATCACCGCATTCAGGTGAGACCGCCTCTCGACAGAGCCGGAATTCGAGATATTAATAAAGAAGCGAGCGCTGAGTTCGATTGATCATTCGAGTCGTATCGACGATTCGCCGTTTGAATTTCCCGTGACGCTCGGAGCTAACGAGAGCGCGAACTTGAGGAAAGTCCGTGCGATAATTGTGCCACTTGCTCGGTGGGCTGAACGTCGCGCTCGAAGAAAGCATTGTTCGTTCGAGCAAGATTTCGTTCGGACGAAAACCCGTCTGGTTCGCTCATTGCTCGGGCAAATTCCACCGAACTGTTTCCCCCCCCCCNTTCCCCCCCCCCCCCCGTGCTTCCTATAAAAGGAACGATCCTCCCGAATAATTCCCCTTCACCACACGATTATAGTCGCGCGATTGTAGTTAGCGAAGACAAGCTTCTCGGTGGAAGACGGCAGGGGCTGAAGCGCGAAGCGTCTCGTTGCAGATCCTTCAGATGGACGGCACGTTCGTGAACAGCTTCGGGCAGAAGGGCCACGAGAACGGCCAATTCAATTACCCCTGGGACGTGGCGGTGAACTCGGAGTGCCGGATCGCGGTCTCGGACACCAGGAACCACCGGGTGCAGCTGTTCAGTCCGGACGGCGTGTTCCTATGTAAGTACGGCTACGAGAACACGCCGAACATGTGGAAGTACTTCGACTCGCCGCGGGGCGTCTGCTTCACGCCCGACGGCAGCCTGATCGTCAGCGACTTCAACAACCACACCCTGGTGTCCATCGACTCGCGTTTCTCGAGTGCGCGCACCCTGACCTGCGAGGCCGTCGACAACAGCAACAAGCCGTTCCTGCGGCCGCAGGGCGTCGTGGTGGATGACAAGGGCAACATCATCGTAGCCGACTCGCGCAATCATCGTATACAGGTGTTCAACTCGAACGGCAGGTTCCTGTGGAAGTACGGCGTCCACGGCACGAGCGCGAAGGAGATGGACCGGCCGGCCGACATCGCCCTCTTGCCCGACGGCAAGATCGCGATCGTCGATTTCGGGAACAACCGCGTGCTGTTGCTGGACCGCGTGATCGAATCCGCGGAGTCTATGTAAACGAGGACCGAGACTGGAAAAGTGCGACGCCGGCTCTCTCTTGCGTTCGCGCGCGCCGGAATTCCCGTCGCACGCCCGTGGAATCGTGACAACAGGGGGGCACCGGAGGATTCCACCCCCCCNCCGGAGGATTCCCCCCCCCCCCCCCTCCCCCTACAACTCTAGTCCCCGATGAGCGGACGCTGAGAATCAAATCGTTGACAAAGGAACCGGTCCCTGTCCGATGTTTCTTGCGTTAGATAACTGTTTTAATTACTGTTACTGAATTTACCTTGAGTTTTTAATCGGAAGCATTATCATCGGCACATCGGTAAGAGTAATATGCAACTTGCGCCTCCGACGGAATCGTTCCCTTTGTCGTTCAGCGAAATGAAAACCGTTATTATCGCGATTTCGTCTGAATACGCAAAGTTATACAAGCCGATCCGTCCCGCTTGTATAGATAATTCTTTTCTCTTTTCGCGAAAGATGAAAACGTTAATCCTCTCTCTCTCTTGATGACCAAAGATGAAAGCTACATATTACTCCTACACAGTCGATTATAAGAATAATTTGTTTTTTATTATAATTGTACATGCATATACTCGATGCAAAATGGACGCATAAAATGCGCATGTAGTTTTTGATGTTAGCATGGCGTTCACGCTATTCGTCTCCATTGCGACTTGAGAACCAGTAAACCGGAGAGTAACGACATAGAGAAAGAATCGTGTAAGCGCTACACATTTTGTGTAATTAATTGACAAAATCAGTCGGCACATCGTCGAGAAAAATGATGGCAAAATTAATGATATAACGAAATATGGATAAATTTAAGGACATCCATAAGAGATTTCTTCCTCGATTTTTATATTATATTTTACTCATTATCTTTTAATTATACCACGGGGGAATTGTGAATTTTTTAATTATCAATTCTCGATTATTTGTCTCACATATTATTAACTGTTCGTATTAATCAATGCAAAAAGACGAATTTCGAAATATTTTATATAATCGAAAAACAGTGATTAAAATTACTCTAATATATTTCCCCGATCTATATGATCTGCAGTCTTTAAGATGTATTATGTACTTCGAGATGTACCGTGTGTCTTTGAGATATATTTTGAATGGTTTTATTGTGTAAATATCTCGATACCTGCGGATCGTTATTTCTCATTAAACACTTCAGAACTGCATTCGTTTTCGACGATTACTTTCGTGTCGCACAACTCGTTGTTTGCCCGTCATCTTCAATGTTGAAACTTTTATGTACTTCAAGTACTTATAGCTACTAAACTGTCAGATACGGTATCGAATTGCAATGCAATTATGTGTGACGTACACTACTAACGATCTCTTCCAATCGCTTAGTGCGTAAAAGAATTTGTTTTAAACGTGAGAACGTATACATGTATAGTTTCTACTCGGTTACATCTAAGTTTAACTCTTACTTAACTTACCTCTATGTGTAAGCTAACTTTTACGGTGACTATACCTAGTAATGTTAGACATTAACGTAAGTTAATCGTTGCCATAGTTGAGACGTAAGGATCAGTACAAAGTGAGAGAGGGAGAGAGAGCGAGTTGGAGAGAAGCGAGTTGTAAAAAGGAGTGAAAAATTGCTCGTCGAGACGACGACGGCAAGGTGCTGATGATTGTTTTCCCAGGTTGAATGACGAAGTCCGCTTGAAATGCTGATTGAATTAACGTGCTCGCAAGAGCGTTGATCAAATTGTGCGTGTATCGATAGAAAGAAAGGGAGAAAAAGTGTTAGAGAGAGAAAAAGAGAGACAGGGAGAGAGAGAGAGAGAGAGAGAGAGAGAGAGAGATAGAGAGAGATTTTTAACGCGGTTGTGAAAGAGACGATACGTGTTGGCGTATTATAAGACACCGTGTATATCCTACAAACGGTCCACTAACCCTCTCGGATCCGCTGCTGAATCCCTGCGACGTTTCTTCGGCATATCTCTCTCGTACACATGAGAATCTCGGTGCTGGAACGGCCGACGTTGTATCCTCAGATACGCAAGGATAATTGTCCTCCTACCTCCTAACGGCGACATTGGTCGTTTCAGTTCCCGAGTGTAACTATTTTGCGCTAAACTTTTCTTCGTGTATAGCTTGAACTTGTTTAATAATGCAGAGTAGAGAGAAGTTGATGTCTCTTGCCAGAGAGAAAATATATATATTTTAACGAGAGAAACGCGCACGCCTGGAAGCTTCACCGCATGAAGATACGAGAGCACTTTTTTTTTCTTTTACAAATGTCCTACGTGCGCGAGAAATAATTGGAATATTGCTGTGTGTCTCGTGAAGTGGTGACGACAATGTGGAGTGACAGTACCATTACCTCATGAGAAAGTGACACGAATGCCGCGTGTTAGTATTCAATGCAACGCACATTTGTGTAACGCCAACTTTCGGCTGTGTCAAACACATATGCAACAAAGTCACACGAGAAAAAGGGAAAAAAGAAGAGAAAGATAAAACGGGGGGGAAAAAAAAAAGAAAATGGAACAATACAGAGCCCACCTCACGATACATCACCACCGAGAAGAGATCTCGCGGCGGTATTTTTTTAGACGAAAAACAAAAGAGAAGTGCTTGTATTTTCGCGTGACGGGATCCGGGAGGGATACCGTGCGACCCCCTCCTCCTCCTCCTTTCAACGATATCTTTCATAAGTGTGGATTAGCGAGACGAGCAAAAACTTTCTACGTATATTAGACGATGTATATTCTATTACATATTACGTCTATTACAATGAGAAATGTTTAACGAAAGCGAAAAGAATGAACGGTAGTTCGCGTCGCGGTGGCCCCCTGGAATCGTTGAGGTTGATCGCTGCGCTCGACTTCGATTACACTTACGGAACGACGTTCAATGTTGTTTTTCCATCGTTCATCATTTTCTCACTTGCCGCGCGGACGCCGCTCTGCAGCGAATTCCAAGCCGATTTTATATACGCGCGCTAAACGGTTGATTATTGCGCGACGATTATTACAACGACCGCGGGTGTCCGTTTGAGAAACGGACAAGCTCACGCTTCTTTCCGCTGAAGGGCCAAGATTTTTGAGGGCAAACGGAGAGGATATGACGAGGCGAGTTTGGAAGTGCCAAAAATAAAGATCAAAAGTCAAAGACGGAAAAAGTAGATGAAAAAAGTACGCACGGCGAGAGACACACCGTGCATTAGGGAACCCATTTGTCATGAGAAGTTCTCGCTTGGATATGGGCAAACGAATACATTACTTGTGAGAACCGAAGTTTGGTTCTCTGAACCAAAGGTCCGATTATCTGAAAGGAAAATGAAATTTGGGTGAAAGAGAAACCAAACCTTTGATTCTCTGATAATCAAAACATCGGTTTGCCATATCCGAGGAAGAATTTTGTCAGAGTCAACAACACGGAAGAAAGAACTCGGTGACTAAAAGTAATATTCTGTTACCGCGGCTGAGAACATTCGTGTGAACATTCAGCTGCGTTAAAACTCGGTGAGAGCAATTGACTGACTGGCGAACCTCCTCCGGAAATCTTTCTGGTTCTACCATCGAATTTTCGAAATCTCGTGGTCTCCCAAGCAACGGAAAATTCAGTTACACCAACGGAACCGTTTCTTTCTTCCGTGTAAATGGGTTTCCCAGTGCGAAGAGAGTGCCCTCCCCGCATTCGTTTTGCATATCATACACTTGCTCACACGGTGGTACCACGCAGGTCTTTTACGGTGTGTGTTTCAGCAGGCTTTATATGAGCGCGAAAATCTCCCGAGAATAATGCTGATTTCCGGCAATATTGGCACTTTCTCTTTTATGTCGAGTCTTCGGGTGTCATGTTAAACCGTCGATAATGCACGCGCTTCCTTTACATATACGGGCTCTCTTCTCTACAGCGGGCACGGGCATCTTCGTAGCTCGACGATGCGATTTCGGGCCGGTGCAATGCAATAACAAGGACGGTACCTCGACGAACATGCGGCCAGAGGGAGGCGAACATGGTTGGCTGAACTAACTAGTCAACTTCTCCTAACGCGATTCGCATAAATAATGTGTAGCCCAGAATATTCGGCGACGAGATACCTTCCTGCGCGAAGGTACGCGTCCCCCGTTTGTGTGAGATCTCTACATATGTGTACATTTGTTGGAACGACCCTTAATTTATTATATATAAATTTCCCCTTCTCATTTAATTTCCCTCTTGTGTTTTACTCGCTTGATTTTTACCGGTACGTAAAAATAATTTAGACGATTCTGCCGGAGAGTTCGTTCTTCCCCGCGTTTCTCGACGCATTCTTGTGCGCGCGTGTGCGAGGTGATAACAACTGGTAAGAGGCTTAAACAGCGGAATGCGTGTGAATCGTGCAGGAACCAGAGGCGCCAAGTGACGTCAAGCGATAAAAGAAACGCACAAGTCCGCGGCGTTTATCGACAATTTTTTTCCCTTTTCGAAAGTTTATAAAAGTTCTCTTGTTTAATAGTGATTCAGTGCCAAACTATGTAATCCGTGAGGAAAAATATTAAAAAAAAATATATATATATATATATCTGGATTAAAAATGTATACACAAAAAGTGCCCATCCCGATGAGAGTCAAGTTCTTCTGGTAGCGTTTGAAAAATTAATGCTCCTGTTCCCCGTTAGCCGCAGCTATCTTGATTAACGACGACAGAAGCGAGAAGTGTGTGCTCAAAATTTTTGCAGAATACGTTGAATTAAAGGGACGCGCTCATAAAGTGATTCTTGTGACCGACTGAACGCATTTTTAACATATTCCGAAAATTTTCCTTTTACTTTAACAATCTCAACTACTGGGTCTGTTCTTTTTCGCTAAACTACCTACACTAGCCTGTTAGTTCTCTTTCTTTCACCAAGTTTTAACTATATATCTGTCTTTCTTTAAGTTCTATAAAAATGCACTATTTCAATGAAAAAAAAGAAGCCTATATGTACTGAGAGAAAAAAATATTTGAAAAATAAAAAAATATTTACCTGATGGGTATTAATAACATATTTACCAATGCCAATATGTGTATTTTTATAATGAGAAACAAATTGTTTCAAATAAAAAAATATACCTTTTCTTAAATCTGTAAGCTTTGGGTGGGAGCAATTATTTAGGATTTCTATTAAAAATCTATAGTTATCTGTACCGAGCCCTATCTAAATAGTTGATTCCATTTAGATGGGAGATTTAAATAAATATACGTGTGTTTTATTAGTGTGACTCACTAAAAAATATATTTTATATATTTTCTAGATATTTGTTTTGTTCAATGAACAAATAGTCGTAAAATTAACGTGATAAAATCATGAGAAAAGATAGGCCAAAAAGAAAGGTTGCATGTTATGTCAATTTTTCGGTTATTTATTGATTGTTAGAGCAGAAGGAGAATTTTCGGAATATTTTACAAATGTGTTCAATCGATCACACGTGTAATTTTATGAACATATCTGCTTATTTTATCGTAACTCGCAAGAATTTTGGGCATCATGTGTTTTCTCACTTCTGACGTCACGAAAACGATTGAAGTGAGAGGTCGATTGTGCATCTTCGTCGACTTTTCTTACTTTCCGTACTTTTATCTCATGTGAATAAATACGCGCAATTGGCTATACGCAAAGTAGGAATATCCCTAAAACACTATTTGACACGAAATTACTTGGGCAACGCTTGTTATGTCATATTTTCATCATAATAAAAGTTAACTAAACGAGAGCTCACTTATGTAATCAGCGAATTAAAAAGCTCGAAACGAAAATTAAATCAAATACAGACCCTAATGAGCAAACCGCCGGTCTTGTAGCGCCACAAACGCATGTTCGAAACTAATCACGTACATGATTATTTCATCATTCAATTTTATTTCATTATTTAATTTAATTCTTTCACTTACGTCATTCTCACTATGTTTCGAGATACACAATCGACTATCAGGAGCCTTAAAATTTTATGCTAATTTTCAAACAATGATAATAATTCGATCGGAATATCGGTCACAGTCATAACTGCAAAATCACAACCGTGAGGATGATTTTCGTCGCAGGAAAGCGCGACGAAAATTTCCCGGCCAGGTGTAACAGGTTTCGCAAACGTTTCGCAGGTGCACTCTCTCGGGACGCCATTTGTCTCCCCGTGCACGTTCCACCGTTTGCATTACAGCGTCGTGCCAGTAATCAAATGGACAGAGCGCGCCTGGAATGACATGCAACTGGAACGGATAACGCGCAGTGCACGGAGATGATCGAGGAGAGACGAGTCCGTAACGCGATTTCTCCGCGCTCGTTATTATTTATTTATTTCCGCACACACCCTGCCGATGATCGGCCCCGTGTCCTCGTCATCAGGGCGGGTGCGTTTTGCATACAGGCGCGATCAGGCGCAGCCTGAAGTAAGCCGAGATCGCCCGAGAGCTATCTGTGCGGCGGAGAGGGATAGGTCGTAATTGCGAGGCGGGCGAGCGCGTCTGTCACGTGTGTTGCGTCGGGACGTGTATTTAAATTAAGTCTCATTTATTCTGCATAATCTCACGTATCTTTACACACAGCTCACGAGCTAATCTACGCGATAGGGCGCCGCGGAACATCGAGGGAATCCTTAGTTTACCCGGAGGAGGCCGTGCACGCGGATGCTCGGACGGCCTCGGATTGGCCTCGGGGATTGGCGAGGTGCACGTTAAGGCGCATCGGAAGTCGCGCGTTGTCCGCCGATTAGCTTCTCCCTCTGGGAGAGAGACACCTTCCCCCTCGTCCGCGTGCACGGCGCGACTCGCCGGCCCGAAACGGTCGGGAACGTTAAGCTTAGCGACTTCGGGCTTTAGCGACGGTATAAAAAAAACCCACCGAAAAGGAGCAGAAGGGAGAAAAGGGCCAACGATATTTCGCTAACGAGCGTCGAAGGATCGCGCGGCTCGGATCGGTTACGCTCGCTCCCCGGCGGAGCGGAGTCTCGGAGGAATCTTAATCCGCACAAACGGACGCGATTATCAATTAATCAAAGGCCCCTTCGAGCGCTATCACAAGTGGAGAGGAGTGCGCGCCGAGAGCTGAACAACTCTCAGCTCTCCCGGCGATATCTGGTCCTTCCAGGGCGCGACGCGCACGTACGCGGAACACGTCGTCGTCGTTGTCGCTGATTGGCTAATCGACACTCTTTCCCCGGGCCGTCGAGCGATTGCTGTCGCGCGATGCCGCAACGCAGTCCGTTCTGCCGACCGTTGCTTTTCGTGCTCACCAAAGTAGCGTCGAAGCAGCGCCCTGAGATCGCGATCTCGAGAGGCTTTCTTAAGTCCGGATCTACGATAAGTGCACGATAAGTGCGGTGAGGCCTGTGACACGTACAGAAACGTAAGCAGCAAACAAATTGACTAATCCAAGTCGATCATTTTATGACCGTAAGGGGAATAATCGACTGTGATTGGTTAATTTTCTTATTCCTTTACATTTTCCCATGTGTGCCATTGGGCCCGAAGTCTTTAATTTTTTCCCTCAAAGCACTAAACGGCAACGTTATTTTTGACAAAGGGCGTTTCTTAACGCTACCAAAACTTGCAATAAAATTCTGTTTCCTCGCCGCAGTTATCTTGATTATCGACGTTTGTCCAGAATTCTTGCGAAATACGTTGAAATAAAAGGATGCGCTTATAAAATGATACTTATAAAAATGATATTGCAGAATATCCCAAAAAGTTTTCTTTTATCGCCACAATAAATAATCATGAAATTAACACATTCACTGCGGCGCCGAGGATGATCGCGACCGAACGGCTTCTTTGTGTCGACAATGTGTCGACAGCCGCAGTGAGCGCGTTAAAGTGACAGAATCCCAAGAAAAGATAAGTTGTCACGTTAATTTGACGGTTATTTATTGATCGGTAGAACAAAAAGAAAATATTCAGACTATTTTATGGATCTGCTCCGTCGACTGTCATTATACAGACACGTCAATTGAAATAAAAAGATACGTCGATTATCGTAACATCTTTCTATTTCGACGTATTTCGTAAGAACGTTGGGTGTATGTTTTCTCGCTTGTGTCGTCACCAAATAAGACAACTGCAGCGACTGGAGGGGCGAGGAGGCTCAAATCCTCGGAATTGCAACGTCTGACAGCTCTGGACACGCTCTTCGTTGGGAATGGCATTTCAATTTAACTTAGAAGAGCTAACAGTGCTAAAGGCTTGCCACACCAGTATCGTAGATCCAGGCTAAGTGACGGCTGAAGCGAGAAGCGACGCAGCTTCTCCTACAGCTGGTCTCGTGTGGGCAGCATCGTTCGCGCGATTCACCCAGCTCGATCGAAGAGGGAAGAAGGGAAATCGCAATCTCGAGTGGCTGTCCGAGTAATGTCGCAGGTACTTTCGCAGGGATCAGTATAGAGTTCACAGTCGACGTCACATCGCGCGCAACCCCCGACCACCAATCCAGAGTTCTCGAGGGGGGGG